CCAAGAGAAGGCACCTATCGAGATTAGTGGTTTTCAGCTTGAAGAAGTACAGTTTCAAATACCTCGGATCGAGGTGGCTGCCGAATGGGCAGAGTATGTATGCAATTCTCTGGCGAATTGACGCAGCTCGACGAGTCAGCTCAAAAGCTGGCACGACTCAGTCCGCCAGGACATGGAAGTGGTTCTTGGACCTTCAGTATTCGGTCCCAGGCGCTGGTGAAGAGGATGGCTCGAACTGTCCAGATCTGCTGCCACGGATCGTTCCGCATGTAGAAGCACCGTACGGGACATCATAGGGGCCGGCTAGATCAGTCATGATCGCAACCATAATTAAGGAGATAATTGCACTTTGCAGAAAGACTTGCCGTCGCGTGGTGGTGGCGACATAAGCATACCTTGAGAAATATCACACCTGGATGAACACTAGAAAGAGCATGACTTTGAGATGATTGCCACGGTATCAAAGCAGGCCATAGGTCTTTATTAAAAATGAGGAAAAAAGATGGTATTTTGTACAATTCCCGTGAGGATTTTTACGAGGTAGAGTTCTTACTGATCGGAATCTGAATCGCTACTATCCGAGTCCGAACTACTGCTGGAGCTCTCGTCGGATTCCGCACCCTTGGCAGATGATGCATGTTGCCCGAGGATAAACACCAATTCCGAGGTGTGTTGCGTCAGTTTAGAGGACAACTCGGACGTGGGCTGTGAGGTGGTAGCCAACAGTTGGGAACGTAAGCCTTCTAGACCGCCGGATGTACTGAGATTTGCGTATGCCCTCACCTCATCACGAGTCATAATACGGTGACCAATGACTCCGCCTGTAAAGCGTGAACAAGTAAATGAATGAAAAAGCGGCAAAACTGTCTCACATCATTGGTGGTTAAACATTTAATTATTGGTTAGTGAGTGTAAATGAATATTTTATTGTGTAGGACGCGATCAAAAATATTAAAGAAACTTATATTTGTTTTGATGAGCTAAATATAATCGACTCCATAAAAATAAACTCCTGTTGCTGAGGCCTGTTGATGGAAATTCGAGCTTATAGCGGCGGATTTTAAAGAAAAAAGGAAAGTCGGGCTACTGAAAATTTAAAAGTAAGTTATTGTTACAAGTCAAAGGCAAATAGGACCTCTAAATGCAGTCCTGCCGAAAAAAACCATCACGCAAACCCACCTAGGAGTGTGAGGAAACGTGTTCGAGCGGTGATAGCCAAGGCTTTTGCACAGGCCGCAGGGTCGCTGCTCCCCAAAAGATATTTGTTGACGACAGGTTCCCGTAGAACGTGGTCAGCAAAGGTCTGCCATTTAGTGCCTCTTGCTGCTTCTCTACAACAGGACAAAACACACTAACGATGTGGAAGACTGCATTACCAACGGGAGTGGTATTAGTTGGGCGCAGATTGGCAAGGCTTACCGAAGGACGGACACAGGAAAACCACGAAAACAGAAACCAGCGTGATACAGTTTGTTCCAAAGTGGTTGCCATTCCCAGGAATGACAGTAGAAGGGCTGATAGATTAGCATGGCTTTGTTCTCTGCAAAGTCGTAAAACTCCGTCTTCGCTTTTCGCAATAGGAAGTTACGATAGGGGTTTTCCAACTTCTAAAAGACAACCAGAAATGAAAACTGACAGGGTGTTCAAACAAGCATGCATTTGGGCGGAATAATTTAAAATGCGAGTCGAACCTGACGCTCTCTTTCCTCGAGTTGCAGAATGATTTTCTCAGCACGAGACAGCCTTGGTGCCTTATAGACGGGTTGCGTGACTTCGCGGAATAATCGCTGCTCAAGAGTGCCCGGAGGCGGTATATGTCTTCGACGTATCGAAGATATTGTAACTTGGGCCGCCTGTATGGTTCGTAGTGACGACGGCCTGCAAGTTAGCATTATGCTAACGAAAAAGTAAGTGATTAATTAAAAAAAAAATCGAGGTCGGTTATATTTGCAAAGGACATGATAAGATGAACCCTTTCCAACTTAGTAGGTAGTATATCGCTAGCTTGATCAATATAAAATTGGGGGAAGCTGCGGTTGTACTAGTCAGAAGTACAGTGGAACCACGGTTAAAGGGTTTAATCCGTTCCAGTTTCGAACTCACGCGAAACACTTGTCTTGCGAAACATAGTTAATAAAAATGCATCAGTTCACTGATTAGTTGCAGGCGACTGAGGACCCTTGCAACGGCGGAC